TAATAATATTAATAATAATTATAACAAGGAGGATCACTTCTGTAGCATCTACTCCCTGAAGGCTCTAGGCCCTTCACAATAATATCTGACTTAAATCAACGTTTTATGCATGGTGACCCATTTACGGCCAACAATTCTTTCAAATACATATAGACTCGTATTCTGAAAAAGAACAGATACACAAAAAGACAGTCACTGTGACTGCTAATGACACTTAGACTAAATTGCAATGAATTCTTGTTTCTTCAGGAGATTCGCACTGGTCAAAGCTATTGCAAGTGAACTCAGACCCCAACGGCTTCCGACACAAGCGATGTATACGCATGTGTCGCAGTTTCAACGTGAGTCAACCAGCTATCTGCAGAGGGCTCCGCCTTGGAAGTCGACGAGGCACAGACAGAAACGGCGCATTGAGGGAGATTGAGGAGACGACAGACACTTCTTGCCCACCGCCAGACTCTGGTATTTTAGCCAGCATCGCGACACGAATCCGCCATTGGCTGCAGTCTAAGCGGAAGTACGAAGTTGTGTCCCCTGTGAATGACACTTCCGGCAGCGGAGAAAGGAAAGGGGATAAGAGCGGGGGAGACATTGATCATGGGGTGGCAGGTGCTAGCGGTATGGTTCGAGGGGAGACGATTAAGGAAGATTACCTAATAATCAGTCAAATAAACAATTACCATCCAGAGTTAAAGCGCTCCGGGGGTTCCAATCCTTTAGGACTCCCCGTGAGTGGTCCATGTGTACCCCGATCCGCCTCAACAGGCGTAGCTAGGACATCTGGGGGCTCTCTAACTCCGCCTACTGTCATTTCCCGACACGCCACGCCCACACACACTTCTTCAGGCGGGACGTCGTCGTTTTACCCTAGCCCCGGAACGTCGTCAAAGTCCACCACCGGCCACCACCAACAGTATCACACTCAACAGCATCAGAACTCTCACCAGCATCCTGTTGTTGATATCAACATTGAGTTCGCCGATGCGGTGGCAGTCAAACCTCGTTCCCACTTCGCATCCAACCCGCTCAAACTGGATCAGAACCAAACCCCCAAAACCGCTATCATGACCCCTGCCACACGAGCACTCTCCAGAAGTCAGCAGTTGCGTCAGTCAAGAAACAAATACATGAAACTTCTTCAAAAGGCGGGCCAGCTCAGCCCCGGCCGGTAAGTCTGTGTGTGGTTTAATTTGTATTGTTCGTGTAAAATGTGCAAAATGAAATTTGTATAAAGTACTGCAAAATATTAAGTTGGCAGTTGGCACAGACACACTGACACACACACACACACACCCACACACACCCACACCCACACACACACACACACACACACACACACACACACACACACACACACACACACACACACACACACATACACACAGAGAGGGAGAGAGAGAGAGAGAGAGAGAGAGAGAGAGAGAGAGAGAGAGAGAGAGAGACGCAAACACACAGTATTTTGTTTTTTTCGTTTTGTCTTTTTATGGAGGTAGTCCCCAATCTATACCCCCCCCACACACACACACGCACGTGTAATATACTCATTTAATTAAGTATTAAGGATAAAAAGGGGGGGGGGGGGACAGTAGGCACATTCAACGTATGCAATCCTGATTAGAGATAATTAATTGGCACATCGTCTCTGCCTTTCTCCTTTCTATTTTTGTACGTTATGTAAATTAGAAGACCATACTTTAAAATTTCGAAAAGGCTTATTAGCGCCTAATTGAGTATTTCAGTTTTATATGAACTTAAAGAAGATAATTCTGGCTCAAATATGAGAGCCACAACCTACTAGCTTAACCTAATACTACGTGGTCATTCTGCATTCTTCAGAGATTTTCTGTTAAAAAAGAATCTTATTTTAAAGAAAAAACGGGTTCAAAGGCTTCTGATGTCATAGAAATTCATTTGGGTCAGAATACATTGTGTGAGATAAATCAGACTCGTTATCGGATTAACGAAAGACACATTTTTCTTAACAGTTTTAAAAGCATTCTATATATTTTGTTCCGAAGCAAATGTTTCGAACAAATTTTAATCATTCTAGATTCTGGGACTATATTATTAGGAAAAGAGAAACACGTTTGTTGGTAGTACTTAACCACTTGAAATGTGCTTCTCTGACAAGGCTTTATTGTTGTTGATAGAACCTTAGTCGTTTTAGGTTGTCATTGATTCATATTACTGAAATCTTAAGTGCACCAAAAGCGTTTTTTTTTTCCCGAGCGGCTGCCACAGAAAAGTACGGACAATAACAACGTCCCTCTTAGGACTGGATCTTACATCACCAGGGCTATGTAGGTGTTTTCACGTCGCCAGTGACATAATTTTAGATCTTTTATGAGGGAGCTGGGTCAAAGACATATTTAAATACAATAGTCCCTAAAAGGGTGGTATCAAAGACATAGACTGTCTCAAAGACAAACACACTCACGAACACACACATATAAGTGCATTCACACACATAAATACATACACACACAGACACACACAGACACACACACACACACACACACACACACACACACACACACACACACACCCACACACACACACGTACACACACACACACATACACACACATACACACATACACACACACACACACACACACACAAAATACATGCGGGCACGTACATACACCGCTGTCCTCGGGAGAGAGATAGATTACTAACCTGCAAAAGTAATTATTGTACCTGCGACTGAGTAACATAAAGCTTACTTAACCGTCATAAATCTTGCTTTGGAACGTTCGTTATAGTTAACAAAGTTCAAAGTTTGGCTTTCGATAAAAACACGTTCCGCTCGTTATCTGTTCAGGCTCAGCAAAGAAGCGTGCACAGCTCAGTTATCTTCGAGTTAGCGTGACCTTAGTTTGAAGTCCTTTTTTTCAAATTGGTTGCTTTAAGAGCTCGCCTCTTTCTCTCGAAAACGCGTGTCTCAATTCTATCGGAAGAGGACGTTAAATCGAACGAACTGAATGCTCCTCAAAGAGGGTATCATTGCCCCTCAAAGTAACCCAAACAATGTCGAAAGGGAAGGTAAACAGGGAATACTTAAGATACGTAAGTAATAGGGCTCTCACAGAAAAAAGGACTAACATGCTGCAGCCTCTGTAAAAAAAGCAAGTCTGTAGATAAGGACCATTAGTTCAGATATTTATTTTAATAACAAGGTTTATCATAAATGTAATACAAATAGTATGGAAAACGCATTGCGCACATCTCAGAGATGTACTGGTGGTATGTGTAGTTGATGTTACATTCATCTGTCTGAGAGGAGATGAGTCTTACAATAGTGTATACAGAAACATTCACAGCATAACATAAGCAAGATAATAGCAGTTCAAATGCACAAACACCATTGTTGTTCACAACTGTGCAGCGACCAGAGTATGAAAGTTTTGCTAGCGCGCAGTGAAGTTAATAATGCAGTATGGAAATACTATGGAGCTCACATACTTCAAAATGATGTGTGATTTCAAATGATGTCATGACACAGCTTTCTTACTTAAGTTTCGTCACCTACTAATCTCATTTACCCTGTTAGACACATAGTTCCCCAATATCATATTCTGTTCCGAACTACTTTGAGGCATGGTTTGGGAACTGGAACCGGAATCATTGTAAGTAGGTTAACTCTATATTTGATATAAGTAATGAAACTGCTATTCCTTATATATACGCTATGTCGTAACACATAGTGTGCACAGACTGTAACGTACCGAAGAAGAAAGTGGGGCATTAAATTTTGGTATGTTGAACTCAGAAATAGCTATTATAAATTAATTTCAGTTAGACACGAAGAAAAATATATAATAAGGAGCAGCCTATAGATATTGTCCTATAATGCAGTAAAAAACTCGAGGGGCAACTTATTATCAAATTTTTAATATCTCTTTTACTGGCGAATCAGTGTCACCCATACTTTGCACATCAGTTTGTATCAATTTTTTAATCACATTTTTCCTTAAAAAATAAGGCTCGATAAATAAACCTTTTTATAAATACATATAATATATAAAATACTATAAATCTCCATCACGCGGAAAATGAGATTGTTCACAGTACTTCCCACTTCTCGCACACATTTTGTGTACGCATATGACCTACGTCACAGCTCGCCTAAGACACTTATTTTTAGTAAACTTTAAAAAATCTGTAGAAACCATGGACTGAGATATTTTATTAGTATTTATTAAAGAATTTTCTAGAATACAGCGTGCAGGAGTTTGAAAAAAATGTTCGCCTGTTAAGACAAATTGATGTAAGTCATTGTTCAAAAGTTAGAGAATCTACGTTCAATAGTAAAGGAGATATTTGACAATAAGTCGCGCCATGCATTTTTACCGCACTTTAATAGTGACGCAGCAAATAACATCGCTCCTCTTGTATTCATCGTTTAAAGGCTAATCTTTAGTCAAGTTGCGTTGAGAGTTCACTGTTTTTGCTATTTAAATAATAATTTACAACTAAATGAAGTACAACAAAGAATATGCTAAAGTATGAATGCCCACAACATCCATCTAATGCAAACACACACTTAAAGACAGAGGAAGAAAAGATAGTTATAAGTGAGAAAGAAAGACTAAAAAGGAAAGCCTTTTAATGATGAATACAAGCAGAGCAAAGTACCAAATTATTAAGTTGGGTGAAAGAGAATAGATGCACTGTCGCCTTTGGTGTAAGATTCGCTGTCGCACGCCGAAGACCCGAATTCGATTTCTGAATGGGCAAGAGGGGGGGGGGGGGGGGGGTTATTGATTATCTCGATCTTTCAGGTAGGACGTTGTATCCCTCTCCTCTGCCCGGGTTGGCCCTGACAGAGAGTGACGGATAAGCCCGCCTCCTAAATGATCTAAATTGTGTCGATGGGGGGGAAATAATTGTTACATTCCCAACCCAATTAGAATGAATGCACAGTTGTTTTCCTCGGAATCCTCCACAGGGCAGTCTTATATAGGCGCATTTGATCTAACGAAGTACTTTGATCCTTTCAAAATGCCCAGCTATATGTCAGCACTGCAATCACCAATCGCCGACGAAACGAACAATACTGCTGTTTTACTGTCCACCCCCTCCCCCCACTCTCCCCTCCAACCGCCCCTGTTTCCTTCCTACGTCCTCTTCCATTTTACTCACCACCTTTTATACTAGAACATGTTTTTTCAGGTTTCGTACGATGATAATATTATAATCTATTTTCATATCACCATCCCCAGGACACCGCTAACAGGGACCATCAGCGCTCCAGCGAAGCATGGGATAGGAGAGAAGGGATCATCACCCATAGCCAAGCGGAGACAGATAAAAACCTGGCCACTTCCGGGAAGAAAGCAGCTGAAGTCAGGTTAGCAAAACTACTCTTTTTAGATCACATGATTTCAAGTGAAGTGAACTCTTACTTGTGTGTAGCTGCCTGTCTACACACTATCTTTGTTTTTTCACACTTTTTTAATGTTCATATCTTCAATACTGTATCCTGTTCTATCAAAGTGAGATAGATTAGATTCAAGTCCTCTATCTGTACTATAACTTTCCACCATGCTTGTCGCGTCTTAAGCTTAAAGCGGACAGTGTAATCAAGGGGTCCTCTTTTACTCAGTCGAGCAAACAGACAAAAAAAAAAAGCCGAAAAGGTAAGGAAAAGAGCTTGTCGAACTTCATCTTGTCGGAACACTCACACAGATTTTCTTGGACTTATGTTGGATAGGCCCATAGAGAGGTGCTATTGCTACAAATAGAAACTTATCAGGGGGGAAGGAAGACAGAAAAGCGAAAAGAAAAAAAAATCGCCCCCCTATAATTTCAAAAGCAGAGATAGAAGCGTAGAAGGTAAAGATTTTCAGCTGTCGTAATTTGAAAGAAAAAGACAATTAAAAAATTGCAAATTAAGCAATATTTACATTTGAACGCTCAAATATGCCGGCTACAATAATGTTATCAATGGTAGATTGGCTCATGAAACACTGGCAGTCGAAACACTTCCAAGTTAGGACGCAGAAAACTGCCATGTCACTTTCCCCCGTATTTTCGAGAGAGAATGGGGTCTAAAGCTAGTAGTAAGAAGCTGAATATATTGAATGCCCCCATATAGTTGAAAGTTGGTATGAATGATCCGGTGATATCTTTGATGAATCCTGCAACGATGTGGTCCAATGTGCACACTGCCCCGTTGACAAGGAAGTAGCCCGACATGATGTGCCCGATATATTCTGAGCCGATGAGGTCAGCAGCGATAGCCGGAAGGAGGGTCATCAGAACTTGAACAAATGAGCCTCCTATCACCTGCAACACAATCATCAGCTCATAGCCCTTGAAGAAGCTCACACATTGAAGTGTGATTCCTAAGACTAGCTGGATCACACCACCCAGGTAAATTCTTTTCACCCAGGGAAGGTCAGCTATAAAACCAATCCCTAGTTTGCTGATGAGGTCGCATGTACCTGCGACTGTGAGAAGCAATGGGACTTGTTCTGCGGTTAATCCTTGTTCTTTACCAAGGATAGGAGTGTATGCATAATAAGCCTGTGCATGAACCCCAAGGCCAGATGCAAAAACTAACATTAGGAAATAGGGATGTGTGTATATAGAGCCAGATAATGCGTTTTTGAATCGTTGGAAACAAGAACGGCATCCACTGTCTCTCTCCTTGATTATTATTCCGTTGCTTTTTAGTTTCTGTGACATCAGAGTTCCGTCCTGTTTCCCAACAGAGGGAGCCCTTGACCGGATTCCGGTTTTATATTCTGCCGCTGATGTCATTATTGTGAGAGTAAAAGACGAATTACTCAAGTATCTCGTACTGGTTGAAAGCGAGAGTTTATCCATTAAGCTATCATTCGGTACACTCCCAGCTCCGTGAAGCATGGTGCTCGATGCACCTAAATACTTGTTCGTGTTGGTTATATCTTCCACATTAATTTCGAATTGTTTCATCGCTCTAGGGTGACTTTCACTCATGCTTCTGCATCGTTTGTATTCCCCACCACAGTGTGGTATCTGGGCAAGGAGATTCATATTCTCAAAAGACTGGGTTTCTGCACTGGTAAGGACGTCAGACTTCACGATTTTAACAATGTCCGTGGAACTGATTGCTGGTGCGACGCTGTTTGTATCATCTGTGTCATCACGGCCCGACTTGATGTTCGGGTCAGCATATAAAGACACGGGTCGGAAGAGCATTGACCCTACCACACAGTGTAACTTTAACCCAGCTAGGAGGAGAACTGCACCCTGAAGGCCATAAGTGTCCAACAGGTACTGGGCCAGCGGAGGGCCCGCTATTGTGGCAATGCTGAGTCCTAAGTTGGCGCAAGATGCTGCCAATGAGAGTCGTTTCTTGAAGTAACACCCAATCAGCGCCATTTCAGGAACAAATATTAAACCGTTTCCAAATCCTATGAACATGAATAATACGTTGGTGAGTATGATATTGGGAGAAAATGCGATCAGGGTCGTTGCTAGGACTGTAAACGTCGATCCTGTCAGGGCGAGTGTGCGGACTGTGAATCTAGGAAGAAAGAGCGCAGGTTGTAACATAGAGCTCACAGCGAACGTAACAGAATACATGCTGAAGGCTAACGTTGTCAGAGTGGCAGACACCTGGTACTTCTCCAAGAACTCGATGAACAGCAGCGAGGCCGCGCGGATGAATGTAATACAACTGGTGATGTTGATGAGAGCCCCTAGCATAACGAACCAAGCCCACCCCCTGTCCACGGGCAATGGAGGTTTCGGGGTTTCATGACGTTCTGTTGCCGTTGTCGTGGTGGTGCTCATGTCAACCCCGCTTTCCCTCGAAGCTGATACTGAATTGTCAGGGTTCAAACCTCCTGCCGCAGTGCCTCCATTGTGCATCCTGGTATTAAATGAAGAAAAAACACCACAAGCCGTATCACAAATCTTCACATGAAAAGCAATACAGCTTGGGTGACAGTACGTTACTATATATATATATATCTATCAGTGGTGAAGACGATAACTAATAAAGCACCGAAATACTGTCAGCAGAAATTACAACTCAACAAAATACTTTTGGCAGAGAGTGCAAACTTGCTGTTGTTAGAAAAGCAATCCGTGGGATGAAACTGTCTCGATTTTGCTGACTTTCTCAACCGCAACTCAAGTAGCTGGCTCGCTCTCCTGACATGCTTATCACAAGGCTGTCTCAACCTATATGTTTGCATCACGCGACCAGCTGTCGTTTAAAAACATCTACCCCCCAGCATCAGAACAGTGGTCTACTTCTGTCTCCATGAATTAAAATTACTCGTAAGTGGCTGTGTATGGGTACGCTTACTCCACTGACGTTGTCTGTCAGCCTTTATATGTTTGCCATGTAATCTTATCGCACAACGTGTGAAGTAACACAAAGGTTAGTCACCACGACATTTGAAGTGCGTTCGTGAAGAAGTAACATTTTTAATACGTATTACAAGTTCAGGAATCTCTCTAAAACTGATGTTTGTTTTAAGTGTAGTTATTTTGGTAACGGCTTTTTGTCAGAAACCGACTAACATCATCTTCGTGTTTCAGTCTTTACTTGCATGTGACATGTATAGTATTCTGTGGGACATTTTTGCTCAAGAGCAGACAACAGGGAAATATTATATAATCTGTACCTGCATCAGTGCAGAAAGTCGGTGTAACGTCTTGTCACTTAAAGTGTGCGTGGTCTAGTGCTTGGTTTTTTTTTTCGGAGAGTCGGAGATCAGACTTGTATCAGTGGGTGGTTGGCTTGTGCTCTGGTCTGGTTTGCTCCTTCTTTCTCATCAAACATCTATCAACCTTATCTCTCCTCCGTTTTTGTGTTAGCTACCTTCTTGTAACACCTCTAATCTTCGGCACTCAAATGCCCTAATCGTGTTGCAAGTGCAGTAAAACTCTTACAAAAACGATAAAACAAGAGACCAAGGCGTCGGTGGTCTAGTAGTGAGGCTACCGGACTCGAAATTGTGAGGTTGTGGGTTCGAAGAGTCATAGCGACGCTGTGTCCTTGGGAAAGCCAGTTAACACCAGTTCTTATTACTTCACCTACGGGAATGGATTCCCGGCCATAGACAGCGAAAGAACTTGCCGGTATGTTGGTGTTTTAGCACCTATAAAGTGACAGCTTGCAGTACGAGTATGAGCTCTCCAGGAAGTCTAAAATGTTTCTGAGTTTTCCAGGGTCTACTGAGATACCAATAGCTATAAACTGCATAGAGCTTGCTGTAGAGAATGGATCTGCGTTATATAAAGGCAATATTATTAACAATAATTTGTTAATATTGTTATTACTAACAAGATACGAGATCTACGAACAGGACAATATCTAATCAGGATTGAAAAGACTGCAAAATGTATTGAAAGGATTTTGTCTCAATTGTATAAGATTTATACAATAATTTCTCTTTCTATCTGTCCGTCTTTCTAAACACTTTCCATTCTCTGTATTTCTAGTTTCTTTATTCCCCCTGTTACAGTTTTTTCCCAATCTCAATAATCCTTTCATACAAGGAATCGAACTGACGTCTCCCACTTGCCCAGCAGGCATACTTAAGCCTACTACATACCACTATAAGATACGACTGAGGACCATAGACTTGAATTATAATATTATTGTTCTAGACTGGCCGCCCCTCTTTGGTCAATAAAATAAACTTGATTGCGCTGGTGCACACTAAAGACATGGAAATGAAGGGCAAAACACCAATCTCGATAAAGTCGAGTGCGTGCGCAACTCTTTCTCCTTGTCCTTCTTGCGGGTCCTCCTTGTGGTTCCGAATAGAGTCAAATGACGCGGTCCACGGTGAAACGGAATTCAGTCAGAAGTGCCCAGCCTGATATATTATTATCACTATATAAGTCTATGCCGAGGACATACTCCCTTTGCTAATAACGAAATTCATATTGTTCAATAGCGTGCTCATTAATGCTATTTGCTGACACTTCCATATTTTACAGCACTTTTAGACCAACTTTAAAACCAAATTTCATCACCCTTACCCAAGCCCACCGCTCTTATCTATTTTATTTTTATTTGGTTCCCGTTTATCTTGTCGTAAACAGGTTGATCTTTCAACGAATCTCACTTATCTGACTTTTCTCGTTTGCAGCGCTTTCCAAAAAGGGAGGGAAAACGCCAAATTAGGGTAAATATTACCTAGCCTGGAAAAATTGTCATCGTGTCATCCTGGGCAAAAAGATCACAGACCCAAATTCTATGTTATAGTATAGGTAAAAAGGGCACAAACTAACAAAATCAAATACGTTTTACTGTAAGATTCACGACTACATTTAGTCGACATTGCACTTTGCTTTTAGTTTTAGTTTAGTTTTTGTAGAGTTTTACGGCGCTCGCAACTGCATAAGGTCATATGAGCGCCAAGCTTTTAGTTTAATCAGAATTCTGTAACATCATTCAGTTTCCGTGCCTTTCAGACAGAAAGCTATTTGCGTCAGCTTTAGTAGTGATTAGTATTTTTTCCGTCTCGTTGTCGGCAAGAATAAATTGTTGTACACAATAAATCAAATAGTGTGTACATGTGTGGAAGAGAGAGAGAGAGAGAGAGAGAGAGAGAGAGAGAGAGAGAGAGAGAGAGATTAGAAGGAGAGGGGGCAGGGGACGTAAAAAGTGCTGACTTGCATACTGCTCAACGTGCATCTCCCTTCCTCAAAACTGCAGTTCACGTTAATCTGCTGATTCGATAAGGCAGTACACGTACATTTCACGAACACTCCTTCGGCCTCCTCCTTTCCCGGTTTTCTTCTGTCCTTGAAATGCCATCAGGGCCTCAACTTGTCTACTCACAAGTGTTATCTTCCTACTCATCTACGGTCAACTCGTCTACTCACAAACGTTATCTTCCTACTCGTCCACGGTCTGCTTCTCCTTCTCCCTTCTTGAACTATGTGTTGCTAGATAGATCGAGCAGAGCCAGATACGATCGCGAAAAATTATCATCTACTTTAAGTTATATTATATTTTTGACAATGATCACGTAGCTGTCATGTGGATGCATAGCTTGTTGAATTCTGCGACAGAGCGTGCACCGAATGCACGTGCTCCAGTTGAGCTTTTGGGTTTATTGGTTCTTTGGCCCAGAGACAGAGACATTAATGATCCCAGACTTAAAATTTCAGACGTAGATAAATCTGTGTGAGATTTATACTGTCATCTGATGTTTAAATCAGAATTTAGATCTGTCTTAACTACTAAAAAAGACGCATGTTCCCTGATACTTCAACTCTCATGCGCTCACATAGCCACACTTGCTCACTCTCAAAAACGCACTTCCAGTACTGATCAAATACTTCATCCGTTCTCTACGTATATCACTTGCATGCCCTAGCTAGTTTACTGAGTAACACGATAACACGAAAAAAAAACCCAACCCCAAAGTCCCCATTCGGCTCAAAATTATGAAATTTGAGTTGTAGAAATTTTTAGCTTCCTCAGCCTTTCCTACAGTTATTCCATCGCATAAGAACCCTTAAAAGCCTTATTTCTTCCCAAACGTTTAATGTTTGCAAAAATGCATGCAAAAAAACAACAACCCCAAAATAATTTCCATAAAAAATAAGTGCAGTATTCATTAGCCTACCTAAGACATGTCAACAAAATCCAATATGGCCCCCGTATCCATGGAAACGAATTTGATTGCGGATTTTAAGACTCCTTACTATGCTTGCTACATGTGTGTAAAATTTGATGCACTAATAAGCGAGATAGCCTTCAGTGTAGCCCCCCCCCCCCCCCCCCCCCCCCAACCTCTATAAATTATATTTATTTACAGAGGCTTTCCACTTGTGAGAATTATTGGCTATGTAAAACGATTTATAATATAGATTCAATGAGACGTAAAATCAGAAATGGTTTCTGTGTCAGTGACACTTAACCCGATTGGAGACTGGCGTAATGCTAGAGACCAAATTCGTCTCCGATTACATGTCATTGACATGTTAAACGTGGGGTTGCCGTAAATGAGGTCAAGATTCGATAATACTCTTGGGAAGAGAACCAAGGGTAGATTCTCTTTACCCTCACCACTGCCCCAGCGTCACAAATATTAAATTCTTTTCCAGCAAGGGCCTGAAACTGCAACATCATTCTTTGGTTTTCTTAAATCGTTCCGCTGAGGATTAACAAAATTAATAAATAACAGAGAATAAGCGGTTATACGCAAAGACTCAAAAGAAGCAAACAACAGGACCACGTATCAAAATTTTCTCTAGTGAACTTTGTGCAGATTTCTTTTACTAGGTAGCCTACATAGCCTACAGTCCGAATTTCTTTCCCTTTCCGACCACATCGCAATAGCAAGACTAAAATGTACAATAAGTAAAGGAATAAGCAGCTTGATGCGTTCAGGCTACATAAATATTCACAAAAGCCACCCTGCCTTATATGAAACATTAATGTTTTAGTCATATTTAATATTGATTTCAAGGGTATTTAATGAAATCTTAATACACTTCTCCCTGGAACTCTATTACAACCCAGTTTTTCTGTAATCACCCCCCCCTCTCTCTCTCTCTCTCTCTCTCTCTCTCTCTCTCTCTCTCTCTCTCTCTCTCTCTCTCTCGTATCTCCAATGCCTCGTTACTCTGAACAGTAAACAAAATCGTAATTTTTCATCTTATAATGAGGTGTCTTATTGCAGTCCTCTTATTCAACCTTTCCTCCTAAGTATAGTTGTACATTATGCTTTCTTGTTTTTGCAAAAAATTGTTAACGAAACTCCGATGATATTGGTCATTTTAATAGTGTAGAGGAGCGCCTGTCCTAATATGATAGAAATTTATACTATAAATAATATTTGACATAAGTTAACTTGTTAGGTCATTTAAAAAAATTAGAATATATAATTACATTTTGAAATTTTCTTCCTCGACTTGGACAAGAAATATAAACAATGGCTTAGCTAATTTTTCGCACTAGTGCCAGATATCTGTTTGTAAAGAACTATGTTTTACGGGAGGCAAACTGAATATCGGATTCGAACCTGGAACCTTTGAATGAGAGGCGAACACCTTAACCTCTAGGCCACGAGAGCCTCCACAGTATTCTTTAAAAAAAAAAAATGTTTTAGTAAATAACGGAAATTATTTTTTCAATCCTTAGACGAACAAGGTAGAAGCGGTAATTGCGGGGTATTTTCCCTGTAAATGATATACCAACGGAAACAACTGGATTTTTATCATAATGCCACTAATCAGAGAGCTAAAAGTGTACATGGTAAGTTCATGAAGACATGCTGTATCCCGCTCTGTCCGAGTTTGTCATGAACAGCAG